GTATCCCGCTTTAGAAAATGTCCGTTCGCACGGAAAAGAAGTTGAAGGAACACATAATATCAACAATACAAGATTAAATAAGTTAGGAAACATCATTTTCCTCTCATTCCACCATAATAAAGAATCCGACTTTCTTACTGTTATAGGCTCATTTAAAAACCTATCTAACTCAATAATCGCTTCACTAGTAGTAGTTTTTTTTTTTGATGAAGTTACCACCTTAAAAAAATTAAATACTTGATTAAATAACACAATAAATAAATAAACTTTTTTGTTGTTATACTTGAGAGTCAAACTATTTCCAAATGTCTACGGCTTCAGTTTCACTATGAATTTTTTCGTTCGCGTGGTCCTGTTGTTCTATATCTGTTTGGTGTAATTCTTTCTGTTGCTTTGCAAAATAAATCCAGCTACTCGTTGTACAATCTTTTCATAAGTACGTTGATATGTAAAATGATTAACAAAACCTTTTTTTTTTAAACGCGTATCTAAAAGAGTAGCTTCGGTAAGAACTGGCTAATACCTTGAATTTTTTTTTCGGCTTTGGTGATCATTTTAGCAAGAATTGTATGAATTACTTCGGGTACCTTAATATCATTAAATTTATCTTTAACATGAGACAATAATACATTTGTTAAAATTAATACTTTGGATATTGACACACCTCTTTCATTACTCAATTCAATTGTAATTTCTTTAAGGGGTTTAAAAATATCACAGTAGTATTGCATTATATCACAGTCTTCATAAGATATATTTTCAATATTACCTAAAATTGGTACTGTAGATATTTTTGTGTCTTTTATACGAATACATCTCTCAAACATATCGTACGTAAAATTCCACCTTGTAGTTATGTCTTGAATGAGTTTTAAATCCGCATAACCCATTTGTTTTTGCATATTTTTTAATTTACTGTAAGCCTGACAACTACGTTTAAAATGTTCAACTATGCGTTTAACTTTTTTATGGACAATTTGTAACCGCTTTGAGCAATAGTATTAATACTTTGAGCTAAGCAAGGTATATGGCACCAATTTTTTATCATATTTATGGCAGCTGTAATATTAGCGGCGCTGTCACTTACTGCAATTATAACTTTTTCAGTTATTTCCCATTCTTTAAAACAATTATTTAAAAAAATTGACAAATTATTTGCCGTATGTGATTTTTCAAAATAATAACACCCTAGTAAAAAAAACTTTAAAGTGCATTCATTTTTGTCAATATAATGAATAGTTAATGTAACAAAACTATCATTTTTAAGGGATGTCCACCCATCAGTTGTAAATGCAATATAATTCAAATTAATTAAATTCGTTTTAATTTTTTCTTTAGCTTTTGCATACAATTGTGGCAAAATTGATTTAGATAAAATTTTTCGTGAATGTAATTTAGAGCTAGGGTTCAAAAAATTAATTAATTTTTAAAATTCAATATTCTCTACAAGGCTTAATAGTTAAAATTCTCTTTGCAACCATTATCCCTAATTGTTCGCCTATAAGATTTCGCCTATTAGAAAAAGAAAGATGTCGATTAATAAAAGAATATACACTTGTATGTGTAGGGCAATTCTTTGATATATTATACAAAGTGATCAAAATCTGGTAAGACACTCATTTTCTCAGAAAAAATTGAGAATTTTAAATTTTATTATACAGAAAAATTATCAAGTTCAAAAAACTCTACAATAATATATAGTCAAATCATTATTTTTTTTGTCCCTTCAAGGATAAAAACCCTTATTTATAATTTTCTTAAATGGGAACCCTTATTTTTAACTTTATA